AATAAATAAATAAATAAATAAAAATCCCTGCCCAGTGGAGTGGTTGCTGTGTAATATCTGCTTCTTCCTCCTGTGAGCTGGAAATATAGTTTCATAGGAGGAAACAGGTATATACTGAGATTAGCAGAAAAAGAAGCATTGGGTAGAAGTGACAAATCCATGCCTTTTCTTGAAGATTGTTTCCTTTTTTTATTGCCTTTTTTTGGTTTACTTTGTTGCAACCAGTAACAAAAAATAACATATCTTTGAATGTTTATACTCACAGGCTTTTGAAGACATATATATTGAACAACGTAAAACTATCAAGACCATGCTGGAATATGCTGACAAGGTCTTCACTTACATCTTCATACTGGAAATGCTGCTGAAGTGGGTGGCCTATGGCTACCAAACATACTTTACTAATGCCTGGTGCTGGCTGGACTTCCTGATTGTTGATGTATGTAGTGTATTTCCTAGGCGATACTTTTATATTTATCTGATTATTTTTAAATTTACCCTCTTTGCAACCATAATATCTATTAGTGCCAACTAGTTTACTTTTCACTTTAAAAAGTAAGGTAGCTAGAAAAGTCATACTTCTGTCTTTCACTTTATACTTGCAGCACTGCCTTGCTATACCACAGTTAGGAAAGACTGGAAGTTCTGCTAACAGAAGGATCTCACTTGGTAGCCCCACAAGCAGTTAAAGGGTTTATCCCAGCACTGCTGTTGAAAGAGGCCATGCTGAACTCCATTCTGGCCTGGTCTGCTCATTCCACCTTCAGACCCACCATCCCTCCTGCTGTGGTCTAAGTTGAATGCAGCATTTAGATGGATGTCTGGTCCACCAGATATCCTACACACATCCGAATCAAAACTCCTCTGGCAAGATAACAAACATCACGTCTGCAAATTTCAGCATATGGATAAATTATGGTTTTACAAGGAAAGCAAGATATATCTCTAGCACTGGTAGTGTGGCTTACTTAGTATTAAAGTCCAGTAAATATTACTGAACTTGCAGTTTTCACAGCCATGCTTCAAATTAGGCTCAATAATCTTTGCTGCAAGGGTTGTCTGATAGTTCTAACTCTACTGTGCTGTGCCATGAAATGGGAGAGAACTTTTCTTAATGCGTTGATACAGTTATGGAGAATTTAATACTATCCTAAGTATACCCTTTTGAGAAAACCTCCAATGCTAAGGAATGCAAGTACTATGTTTTACATAGTTACAAAACCACAGCCAGTCACTATATTTTTAAGACAGTAATTTCTGGCAAAACATACACAAAACCCAAATATTGAACAAGCTTAGTTTTAAAATTAAGATTATTTTTGTCCTGGTTTAAATGAATTAGAAACAGACACTGAATAGGTAAAAAGGGAACTTTATAAGCATTTATTATGCCAAAGAATTGCCTAAAGTTTCTGATTGTGTTCCCAGCATACATGGGCTAATCAGAGCAATTAGTTTTCTTCAGCTTTGTTTTGTGATGGGTGCCTACAACCTTTTTGATATGTGTACATTATGGTTTAAGTATATCTAGGATTCAGCCCCACATATAGAGCTACAGGTAGCTATGTTCATACAAAGAAAGACCCACTCTTGGGTTCTCTAGTATTGAAATTCTTCTCAAAATGGCACCTACAACAAAAAAGCTTGAAGAAGCATGCAAGCAGAAGCAGCTGTTCCTTTTCTAAACTAATTTTCTCTAATATTTGACCTTATTTAAATCATCATATTGCAAACGACCATCTTGTGATGTGAATATTTGAATACATATTGTGAAGGTATAGTATGTATTCAAGTGTCTCAATAAACTCGTGATCAAATCTTGGATTTACACATCTTTTACAAAGATATTTTCTTTAATTTTGCTTCAGATCACAGCAGCTTGAAAGGTTTTAGTAGTACGAGGAATATGCTGGAGAAAGAAATTCAGATTTTGTCAGAACCTAGATTTGTGGGTTGCTAGAGCTCAGGATTGACAAGTACAGAAAAGCTAAAGATTTCACATATAATGCTTGGTTTTAAATATGGTTCATAAAAAGCACTGTCGTAGAGTTCTCTTTACGTGATATATTTTTTCTTATAACGAAAGAGTACATGAGAATATTATGCTATTTTTGGCCCAATAAATAGTTAAGGAATTAGAACAGCATAATGCAGGAACATTTAGGGGAAATGGGAAACAAACAGAAGGTAATATTTTGGACAGGAGCCATAGCAAATGTGGACAATGTGGTATTTTGCACTGAGGTAACGTAGGGACATGGAATATTTAAAGGCTTGTCGAATTCTGCCACCTATGGAACTGTTCTTATAAGGTCTTAGAAACAACATAATCCAGGTCAATGTTAAGCTTGTAAAGCACATAAATTCAGCAGTAAGGCAAAAGGATTAATCAGTGTAACTGATTATAGAAAAATTAATCCTTTCTACCAATTTCCAGAGGAGCAATATTGCTCTGTGATCCATCTGTTAGTTCAACTCAATCTTCAATCACTTTCCTTTCAGTTGTGGGCAACCAAATGGACATTATCAACCATAATTATTGATCCCAACAGAACTGTAAAAAAAAGAAAAAGGAAGAGCAATACATAAATTAGTAAAAAGGAGAGATTATTTTAATTTGCTTTTTGTTGTTTTAAATGCCCACAAATCACTAGCAAAATATGAAATTCAGAAGTATTAATGTTTCCAGATATTAGTTATCTTATGATATTTTTTTTATTTACCTCTTCTTCTTTCATATTACTTTTTTCTTCTTTTTTTTTTCATTTGAAAGACTCCTTATTCCTGAAGAAAATGGTCCAAAGTTAGAATCTTCTAAAGAAGTGTATATCTCACATCTATGGTACGTAAAGTAGTATGTACAATATAATAATTTTTACTTTCCTGTTTTCATATAGGTCTCTTTGGTTAGCTTAACAGCAAATGCATTGGGTTACTCTGAACTTGGTGCCATTAAGTCCCTTAGGACACTAAGAGCTTTGAGACCTCTAAGAGCTTTGTCACGATTTGAAGGCATGAGGGTAAGACAACATGAAAGAATCTGAAACTATGCATGCATAGAAGGAGTACATGCATGCAGAATCAGGAATGAAAAGTCCATGCAGAAAGGCTGCACTATCTTTTTATCGCATATCTTTTACTAACAGATAAGCAAAAAGCTTCATCAATTCACCTAAATCCATATGCAGTGTCACATAGAAGTTACATTCATTAAGGTTACTTTACTTTCTAGCCAATCTCAGGAGTTTTTCATGTAAGTCTTTGAAATTACCGACTATGAACTCACTTAACAGACTCTTAATAATGAAAAAAAGTAATAAAACTATATTAATTTTTTACTGATAAACATATTACAATATTGATACAAGAATCTAATTTAGCATCCATTGAAGATATTGTCTGTTAAAATTTGAATTTTTTAAATTTTTCTTTATATTTGATAAATCCCCTTTAGTCTAACCCCACTGAATTTTACTAGATGGTATTACAGATATATTCATACCCACTAGTGGTTTAAATCTATTTCTGAGTTTGGCTGACTTAAAAAAAGAAATCAAGTTATTTGATTGCTCTATGAAATTATTCTCTTTGTAAGGTAAATGCTTTTTTTTTTTCTATTTCAACTAATCTCTATTCAATATTCAATACAATGTATATAAGGTCATTTCTTACTACTCTGAGTAATTTAGAGGCCCTGCTTACTATTCATCTCACTTAAGAAGGCATTTTAACTTATTTTTTCATTTGTTTACACCTTCTGTTCCTTAAAGCCACTGAATACAAACTAACTCTATATGCATGTCAATGAAATATGTTTTAAGAAAATGCTTTTTCCTGCTTCTTGGAAACATAAGAGGAAACAATGCAATAATGAATTTCTAGTCAATTATAAACCAGTGGAATAGGTTGGAATATACTGTCTTCAGAAAGAAAGCTAAGCTTAATGATTGAAACTTCAAATTCTTTTCCTTGAATTGTATTCAGTAGACTACCTATCTCTACTTCAGAATGCAGCAGAAAATATATCACTAACCAATGATTACTAGATTAATAAATTTCAACTTCATACAGCAAATTGACTTCTAACAGTTTTCTCCTTATTTGAAACTCATGAATTCAGCAGGGTAAGAGCTGGTCAAGTGTTACAGAATTTACCACTATTTGACTTAGCCATTTTCTCTTTGTCTCTCTTTGTACATACTGTTCATGAACATTCAGAAAAATGTATGTGGTTTTGTGCAGAGAAATGTCATGAAACTGCTGTCAGGTTTACTTTTTTAATAATGTTCTGGTCAGCTGCAGGAGGACTGGGAGACCAGTATAGACATTACATAGGAAGAAAAAAAAAAAGCAGCTCTAAAAATTATATTGGAAAAAAAGATCATTTCTAGAAAGAAAATATCAAAATTGATTGCCAAATGTTTTATTCAGTTTTTCTGTATTCTTACGTGATTGCCTTAGTAAAGTTTCCTCTTAAAAATTTAGGATATTCATGCTCAAAGAAAAGTATCTGTTATTAGAAATCTATTTACTGCTTTCTCTTATGTCTCGCTGAATAACTATGAAATTATGCCAGAAGCCCAATCATATGATAGAATTTCAGCTACAGAACATGAATAATTCATGAGCAATTTACTGTGCAGGAATCACAGACAAGCTTGGAAAAGCAAAAAGGTTTCAGCTCTGTCCTCCAATATTAATGACAGTCAATGAAGTGCCTGATTCCAGTCACTTAGCAAATTTGACTGGCCAATTATATAGGCCTTATATTTACTATTAGTTACATGAACTTCTGAAAATGTTTTTTTCCAAAGTACTTGAGAAGTATTCATAACAACTCACTGACAGTTGTTGGCATACCTTATGAATGACTCACGAACAGTAAAAAGATTCAAATAATAAATAATTGACCAGCTCATGGTTGGACTATAATCAGATTGCAGTCTTCTCAGAAACTGAGTTCATTGCATAAGAATTCATAAAAAGATTTTTTTCTGCCTGCAGAAAGTAAAAATAAATCATCCCTCTTTGCTTTCTTATATTGCTCATACCTATGCTGAACTGTGATAAAACAAGCTGACTTTTTATTCAGCATGTATTTAAATTTTAATGTTTACTCCATGTTCAGAACTGTGCAAATTTTGCCTTGAAAATATAAAATATCTTAAGTATTTCACATAAGTCCGTGTATATAAAAAGATCTGCATTATTTTGTAAAACAATCTACCAAGTTCTCAACTACTTTAAATCAATCAATGTTTTTCTTATATAAGTTTACCCTTCTAGGGAATTGGAAGAACACAGCATTTTACACAGTCAGTAAATACTGACTATTTATAATTTTATAAATTTTATAATTATGCTTAAACTTAGTTTTATAATTATGCTTCATAAATGGGAAAATTCTCTTTCCAAAGTGAATATATGAATCTCTTGCACCAAAAAAGGGTACAAGTAATCCATAGCCTGTGCTTGCCTTTAGCACAGAAGTGAATTTTGCCATATTAAAGTCATTTAGTATATCTCTAGTATACTGAAGTCTAAAATATTGTAATACTTTCTATAGTGAATCTCAAAACGAACTCCATCCAGATGCTGGAAGGCAAAGTAAAGAATTGCTTTAATTTAATTTAAATTTCTGTCATAGGGTTTATATTCTCATCTCAATTAGTGTATGTATTAAGCAGAAGTAGCTGCAAACTGAGATTTGAATATACCCATCGCTTTTTGTTTAGCTTCCTAGTACTTGCAATATAATGCTTTTGCGCTAGTCCTGATTTGGTATGCTACCTGTAAATGTAGAATACTGAGTATACATTGCTTTGCTGAGTTAGAGAATTAAGTGACAATAAAGCATGCATTTATGTCTAATTTCACAAAATAAAGCATGTCATGCCGTGCTTGATTTATTTATTAGAGAAATAGTAGAAGGCAGCAAACAATCTGAAATCCACTTGCACTTTCAGTTTTGCATGCCTTATGCATATTTCTGGCTGATGGCTTTAAACATTTACTGTATTTCAAATTTCCAGTCCAATTTCATAACTTGTAAAACTAAATTAGAGTATTTGATGTCTTAAATATCCTGTAAAATTCAATGGCTATTCCTTAGATTTCCTTACAAGGAAAGTTATAACGAGTCATTTTCAAGAGTACTCAAACTTTCATTAGTAGAAAAGAAACATTTCTCATATAGTTGAGTTATAAAACATATCATCAAGTGTCTGTCATTACAGATTCACAACTAATAACAGGCTATATATTTCTATTTCATATAGGATAACCTTTCAGCTTGGATGGGGTGGACCCCTGGTTCCTCCCCTTATCTGTATTATGGGTACAGTATTTCCCCTTTTCTACCCTTAATGAGTACAGTCTGACTAAATCACATTGTATATTTTAGGGCTAGAAGGAGAGACAATCATATTTGAGAATCCCAATACCAGCAAAATAATACAATATTCACCCTACACTCCTTCTAAATCACTTTAAATCTTTGGAAATAATGCTTTGAAATTTTTTATGTTACAGAAACAACATGAAAACTTTTGAGCAAATAAGTATTGTTATTTAGAGTTTCTGGAGTTCTTTTTGCAGGAGAAGGTACCTAAGCTATTTTAATATATTTAGTTGCTTTTTTAACTGAGATAAAAATTGGCTTTCTTTAAAAATTTGAATTTGGCTTTTATATTGTTTTGGAAAGATCCATGCTTTACTCTGTTACTCAATTTATAGCTATATATATTAAAAAATATCCTGTAGAAAGTTTTGCACATTACTGTTAATACATTAAGCCCACACCAAAACACTGTGATCTGAATAGTCACAACTACAGATATTTATATAATTGCAGTATACATTTTTGCATAATTTTAAAACCCCTATATGTTACATTAAGTAAATCACTCCAAGTGTATACAGACAACGTGAAACAACATATATAATCCTTTCTTGGAATCTGAAGTTAGTACCCTTTGCCCTGTGTTGGAAACTAGTTTCTGTAATCTTGATAAAATGCCAGTAACAGTATTATCTTCCTTAGGGTTTAGAAACGTCCTGCAGGAGACATGTTGGTGATGTAAAAATTCTACATTCATTATAATAATTAGAAAAATCCACTTCTTAGAACTACAGCCCTTGCAAGCACCAGCTGAAGAGGGTATCATTAGTGCAGGAGTTTTTATAGCTTCAGTGTAAATGATATATCAGCATAAACTGCGTTCAGTGTAAATTTATCATCCTGTCTCACAGTTAAGGATTATGTATTCCCTCTCAAGAAAGTGTATTTGCTATTTTCTGCAAGTTTCTCTTAAAAAGAGAGGAATATATTTTGTTGATCTAAAGATTTTGAACTTTCAAGGATTTTTTGAGGACTGTGATCCTATTCATTACCTTTGAGTTTTAAGGAGTCTATGAGACGTGTTATGTCTCCTGAAAGACAAAACTTTACAAACTTTGGTGTCAGAAGACTCTATGTATAGATGTTCATAAATCATGCAGGAAATATCCTAGTATTTTTTTTATTATAATTCTACAGTTAGAAGAGGACTATTGAAGTATAGTATATAATTGAAACTGATATGATTTTTTTTCCAGATTTGTGTTTGTTGTATCTTAAAGAAAATCCTTACTTTTAGAATCAAAATTTAATGAAATTTGAATGGAATACATAATATAGTTTACATTTTAATTGGGAATGTTACAGGGCATGTAAAGGTCAATAACATTTCATTAATGCAACAGGAAGGGCAAAAAGTTGGGGTGTTTTCAACTGCATTCTGTGAAATACAAAGATACAGTTCCCACATCAAGTAATTACTCTGTTTTCATGCTCATGTTTCTTTACGATATTTACCAGGTCTTCTCAGACAAAGGGAGTCGTGATTTATTGCTTGGCAGATAATTATTGTACTTTATCATACAGTATGTTAAATTATGTCTTTTCTTCTGTGTTTTCTTCAGAAGTACTTTGTAGTACACTTGATTTCTGGTGAAAAACAGAATCAGGCTGCTCCAGAAC